ATAACCTAGCCATGTTGGAGGCAGGGCAAGGGAAAGCCATCTTTACCGACTGTACACTCCACCTCCCTCTACTCCCCCACTTGTCCAGATTTACGCTAACATCAAATTTTAACCATAGGCCCTATCAAATAAAAATGTTTTAATCCTAGTCTTAAAAGTAGACAAAGTGTCTGCCTCACGGACTAAGGCTGGGAGCTGATTCCACAGGAGAGGAGCCTGATAACTAAAAGATCTGCCATCCATCCTATTTTTAGATATTCTAGGAACCACCAGTAAACCTGCAGTCTGAGAGCGAAGTGCTCGGTTAGGAACGTATGGAACAATCAGATCACTGATGTATGATGGAGCTTGATTATTAAGAGCTTTATATGTGAGAAGAAGGATCTTAAAATCTATTCTGAATTTAACAGGTAGCCAATGTAGGGAAGCTAAGACAGGAGAGATATGATCTCTCTTTGTAATTCTCATCAGAACTCTAGCTGCAGCATTTTGGACAAGCTGAAGACTTTTAACTACATTCTGTGGACTTCCTGAGAGTAATGAATTACAGTAATCCAGTCTTGATGTAATAAATGCATGAACTAGTTTTTTAGCATCACTCCTGGAAAGTATGCTTCTAATCTTAGCAATGTTCCGAAGGTGGAAAAAGGAAATCCTACAAACCCGTTTAACCTGGGATTTGAATGACATGTCTTGGTCAAAGATAACACCAAGGTTCCTTACTTTGTTCTCGGAGAGTAATGTAATGCCATTCAGGTCAGGTGATTGACTAAGCAATTTCCTTTTCTGGATTTCTGGTCCAAAGATGAGAACTTCCGTCTTGTCTTGATTTAAAAGCAAAAAGTTTAGAGTCATCCAATTTTTATGTCCTCAAGACAAGCCTGTAATCTACCCAACCGATTAAGTTCATCAGGGTTAATGGATAAATATAGCTGAGTATCGTCAGCATAACTGTGGAAGTTTATCCCATGAAGTCTAATGATTTTACCAATTGGGAGCATATATATAGTAAAAAGAATTGTCAAGCATTGAACCCTGTGCTACTCCACAAGTAACCCTGGAGTATGAAGACGATTTGTCATGTACATTTACAAAATGAAATCTATCAGACAGGCAGGATTTAAACCAGCCTAGCGCTGTTCCTTTGATCCCTACAACGGTGAAGTGACTGCATCAATGCAAACACTGCAAAAATTGCAAACCTCCTTCAGAGAAAAGGATTTTGTGATCTTTGTTGTCCAGTGGCTCCAGAAACAGACATATTAAACATAACAGAAAATATGAAAATAGATAAGTGAATAAGAATTGTGCCATTAACAAAAATAAACTGACCAACTTCAGCAATAACAGACCCACCTACGGGAGTTTCCCCTTTTAAAGGCATTCGTTAAAAGCAAGGGCGTCAGTTTATTTTCAGAATTGCTGGGGACAATAGCCATACACTTGAGTGGGGCTTAAAAATTGCTGGGGACAATAAAGTAGGCTAGCACAGGGGTCGGCAACCCGCGGCTCTGGAGCCGCATGCGGCTCTCTGTGCTTGTAAAATAATGAATGGATGTTTAAATAAAATGCTTTATATTTTACTGCATTAATTTTACATCTGTATGCCAATTCTAAATGTAAAGATTGTCTGTAAACCTGAACAGGTCCAACCCGGTCTTACTGTGAGACCGGGTTGACGTGTCACGCTTGTGCGTAATCATGCGCTTATGAGCTGCTTTCCGACCTTCCCCACCTACAAAGTTTAATTACAACAATCAAACGTGACAGAGCCTGGATTTGTATTCTGAACAGCCTAAACATGTTTTAAAAAGAAACGTATGACAAAAGTGGCACCTGCTCAGTAAAACCACCAACAGGGTGAATATTGAAGGCAGAGACGGGCTACAGCTTCTGGATCCACTTTATTTAATCGTTTTATTGATTATCTTTTTATGAAAGATAACTTTGACGTACACGAGCGACCAGGCGCGTTGCAAGCTTTTCAAAAGTGCGGGGGATGTTGTCTGTGCCTAAAATAATTTCATGTTATTCATCTTGTTAGTTTAATTTCCATAATAGCGGAGCAGGTGCGAATTTTAGACGTGTCACGCACGTCTCCGTTTTAAACATGTTTAAACTGTTCAGAATACAAATCCAGGCTCTGTCTCGTTAGATTGGTGTAACTAAAGTTTGTACTGAATGAAACTTTACATTAAACCATGTTGAAAAGAAAAGGATCCGATTAAATTGTTTCCCCCTCATTTACAGTCACGGACTACAGAGCAGTGCGCGTGGCTCTGGGGTTAATCAGGTTTAATTGTTTCTCTTTGCAACAATCTTCACAAGAAGGCAAAACAGTTAAATGGCAGGTTACAGATATTTCCATTTGACTGTTTATTTTGACGGATAAACTCAAGGATGTTGGTTGATTTCCTCCCACTGAAGCGGTCTGGAAACCCGGTCTCTCTGAGGGATGTGTCACTTGGAAAAATGTTATTTTTATGAAATTATGAAAGTTTGGCTGAATAGCGCTTGTTCCCGTCTCTAATATGGAGACGCATGACGCATCCAGTCGCCTCTTCAGCTCAGAAAGCACCTGTAGAGACATTTGATCACGCACAAAGTTCATGTGGAGCAGAAGCGGTCGGGCCACGGCAGGTGAAATGTTCCTAGCCTACATGAAGTGAAACTGTTTAATTGTAACATTAATATGTTACTGGACACGCTGGTCTGGTTGGTTAGACCAGTGTTTGAAGTGGAAAACACACACACACACACACACACACCAATTAACATAATGCTGATAGCATGGACTAGAAGACAGGTGATGGTTTACGTATTTAGATGATGATCAGGCTGCTGTAAAATGTAATCTCCATCCACATCCAGACACAATTATCCTCTATTCTTTCTCTATTTGCTCTGCTCTTGTCTGGGCTGACAGCTGACGGTGCGCCTAGTGGCTGTGATGCACATTTTACGCATTTGGAGAGGTGGGCCAGATGCTTTTCTTTTACTGGAAGATGGTCCACTTAACGCACGGGTGTAGACTACATATTAATGACAAATGAATGAAAATTAAACTGGGAGTTTTTACTTCATATTTTATAAATAAAAATGATGGGGAAAACATTTATGACGTCTTTTTAAACGAAATTTTCTAGCGCGACCTGCCTGCTTCACTTAAGTCACTGCTTATTAAGGTCCGTCCAGAATTACCGTGGCCCACCCAAAAATGAAAACCTGGCGCTGCGCCTGTTATAAACCTCTGCAAATTATTGTTCTTCACTTGATAAAACTCAGACTTTGTACAGCTAATGTCAAGATGTAAAATTATGAATTCAGTCGAGCTCTTCCGTCCCTCCCTCTTCTGCTCTCCTGGAAACCCGACATCGGTTGTCAGAAGTGGAGGTGAAGAAGGAGATGAGGCAAACAGAGTGAGTGCGACCTAAAGAAACCAGACTGGTGTGGAGGTGAGCAAAACAGCTGGAAAAGTGTGGGTGTTGAATCCCCCACGGGTGCGACGCCCATGGTACCGGCTGTTGCTGTCACCTGGTTGTGAGCAGCTCTCTGCTGTCTGAGGGTAGGCCCCGCCCACAACGCTGTGGCTCCCAGTGTTTTCATTACTGTGGGAAACGGGTAATAATGGCTCTTTGATGGGAACAGGTTGCCGATCCCTGGTATAAGATCTGAGCTGGTAAAACAAAAATCCTCATCAGCAGGCTTTTTTGAAAGTGGGGGGGACACAGCTGCCAATCACAAATTTTGCCGGGGACATGTCCCCGGCGTCCCCGGTTAAAATGACGCCTATGGTTAAAAGGAAATTATCAACAGGAGAGTCGGGCTGGGAGGCCAGAAGTGGGCGGGAGGAGAAACACAAGGTTAAAAAAAACTTTAAAGGTAAAAACCACAGAAACTCGACCTTTAGGGTTTTCAGAGGAAACACATTAGACGTTTTAAATTTATTTGTGAAGACTGGGGGCTTTTGTGGTTCTGACGTCTGGACATTTGTGGATTTTAAACACGAAACATAACATCACCAGCAGATTTAATGCATTTTCCATGTATTGTTAGAACTTAGTCACAAGTTTTTTTTTACTGCTTCATACAAACTCATCTGGTTTAAGCCTTTTTATGGTTTAAATAGCAATTTTTTGTTGCAAGACATGTGTTTTTTACACATCATTAAACCCGCCACCATGTGATTAACTGTGGTTGTTTTTTTTCCTGCAAGTGGTCCTCAAAAGCACCAGGCTCTTATTGGATGAGTTATTGTCTACGATAAGCCTGCAGCAAACTAACTAATGAGCCTGTGCGTGCAAATCAGAAGCTGCTACTGCTGTCTGTTGTGTTTGAAAAGCTAGCCATGACTTGGAGATGGTTATCATAAGAGAGAACCGGGATGTGACTCTCAGTGATGTGGAGGCAGGAGAGCAGCAAACGTCTCAGCTTCGAAGTTCTCACCCATCTGTGAGACATTATGCTGTGTGAAGCCATTTGTCTGCATGCACTAACAGAAGAATATTAACGTGTTCAGAGTCAGATGAGCTTTGCAGGCTTTGCTGTAAATTTCTCACAAACACACAAAGACATGGTTACTCCTCAATCTTCAAAGCTAAATTACTTCCTTTGCAGAGCTGAAACACGTCTGACTCAAGCAGAAATCTGTTTCTTGGAGGGTCCAGAAGGATTACATAACGTAGGAAAAGATAGGTCTGTGGTTCTGAGTGGCACACACACACACACACACCTCGTTTTTGGATCTAGTCCCGTTTGAATTTGCCTTCCTATGGCTTTTATGCAGGATTAGCAGGAGCAGTGCTCTTCAACATCTTGGATCTGAGAAATAAGGACATTTATTAAATGTATCTTATTAGTACATGTTTTAAGGGTTTTAACGTGCATTTTTACAGCTAATTCAGGCTTGAATTTAAATCATTTTCTTCTCTCTTGTCAATTTGTTCAATCTACCAGTTCTGCCAAGTCAGTTTGATCACAATCTTGATCTTTCTTTGCAGGTCTTCTTCCAGAATCTCCATCAGTTCTTCTCTACACTGAGGACTGGCTGTCTAACCTGCCATTCACCGAGGGCACCTTACTTCCAGACTGCAATAAAGAACAATCTGGTATCTGCAACCTTTCCTACATCTGGGACACCACACCTCCTTTTGGCATCAAGCCCACACTAAACCGCACTGCCACAAACCAGTCAACCAACCCCTTCCTTGACCCGGCTCCACCCATGTTGGTGCCCTTGTACACGGACTGGAACAGTGCCATGGCAGCCTGGGGTCTGGCCTGGGAGGTGCATGTTTATGGAGTTGGTTGTGTCTTTGCCATGCTAATGCTAGCCTCAGCGCTGAATCTGCTTTGCTTGCCGCTGCGATGTCCATCAGGATGTGGCTACTTTGCACTAGTCAGCTTGTTCCTTCTTGCTGCTGGTTGCACCAGGTCCTTTTCACTCCTGTATGATGCATATGGTCACCAGGATCGCATTCCCTCCACAGAGGCCTCACTGGTGCTCTACGAAGCGCCTTTCCCCTGCCTCACTGCAGCTTTTGGGTTGGTTTTTCTTCTGCTCTCAATGCGCTCCAGAATGCAGCTGTCGTATTCAGCCTTCCAGAGACCCTGTTTCCTGTTCTGCCTGGTTGTGCTGCACTTCACCGCAGCATTTGGTCCAGTGACTTTCCTGAAGTTTTACCAGCAAAAACCACCCTTGTGCCTCCTTCTGTCACTTATCTCTCGCGGAGCCTTTGTGGCACTGGCAACGTTTTTGTCCGTTGCATATTTTGTCTTCTACATCTACGTTCGGGCAGACTCGAAGCACATCTATCACCTGAATAACACATCTCCAACCCCGGCTGAGCGCTACAACCGCTGTCCGTTTGCCGAGAGCCGAGACTGGAACCGGGCCGCTGTTACCGTTTGTGTTTCTGCCTTGTTTTCTTTAGCATGCTCAGGACTACAGTTATATGCAATGCTTAATGCTATGGGCCTTGCAGGTGGAAAAGAGGTTTTTCACCCTTGGACTTGGTGGGCTTTTCAGTTTAGCTGTAGACTGTGTGAGCTCGGAGTTTGTCTCACGCTCGCCTTGGTGGTTGCACAACCAGTTTTTTGTTCTGACCAGCTCCCAGCTGCTGGAAGTTGCTGGACGGAGCTCCTAGCATCCAAGTCGCCCATCCTGCCTGGTACCTACCAGTGGACACTCAGCCAGCAGGAAAAGCTTGCCATTGTTGACACGGTTGGGCTTGGCGAAACAGAAAGCCTTCCACTATACACTCTGATGGATGAGAGACTTGGGAGCAGCTTGAACGGCCTGGACCTCCTCTACCATAGCAACCGCGCCTTAGCATATCGCGACCTCGACTTGGATTTAGGCTTACACAGTTCCGAAAAACCTGAGGATGGGGGAGGCAGAGAGCCTTCAGGGGGATCCTCACTTACCAGTGACTCCACAGCAGATCTGCGGCCACCTTCGCCTATCAATCTACGCCGTAGCATAGACGAAGCACTCTTCAGCGAGGCCTTGTTTCCAATGAGTCTGTTCAGCCCCACAAGGCCTATCCTCTGCAGCGACATGCCTTTAAACCACTGGACGCTCCCGAACAGAAGCCCCAGCGATTCCCTCCCAGCTGATCCAGGTCTTTATCGAACCACCTCCTGTCAGGAGATGGCCTCTCAAAATCAACATCCTTGCCCCCCTTCGAAAGAAGACACTGGTGCTCCAGCATCTTCCTCCATGGGCTCATCCTCCAGCTGTTCATCACCTGAACACTGGAGAGGCAGTTCCTCCTCGTCCTCCCTGTACCAAAACTCTCTTGGAGGCTCCTCACTTGTCCTTTGTCCAAGTCCAGAAAGACATTCAAGACACCTTCTTCAGGATGGGAGCAAGAGCCACATGGCATGCTCACAGAGGCACTACCAAACTCTGGGAGCCGCCTCCCAGGAAAGCTTGGACCTGTCAGCCGCGACGGATCGATCTGTGCAGGAGGAATTCATCAGCGTCTGCAGACAAATTGATGCTTTAAGCATCTGCAGTGAGACTATTGACTTATAAGAGACTTGTACCAAGGAGGACCTGAAACGAGTGGCTGTTCCATACAGCAAGTGGACTTTGAACTGGATTTTTCACCAAGTACTTGATATTGCATGTTAGCTTTACACAAACTAAAATGGCTACAGCTGCCAAAACCATGTGTGGGAAGTTTGAGGACATTTATCAAGCATTTAGAGAAGATCTAGAGAGTTTAAGTGCCAAGACGGTCAAAAGCCAAGCAAACATTTATAAATTTTGGATGTCAGATAAAAGCTAATGAAGTTTGTAAAGAGTTTAACTGAGTGGTGATATAACAAGAAATGATTTGTATAAATGTTTATAAAGCATTAAAACATTCCAACAGATATTATTGTGACATAACTTAACTTTTAAATACTACTGCTATCTAAATGTAATAATCACCCAGTGGGACGTGCTGTCATGGCGCAGCGGTGCCCTCTGCTGATGAAAAATGCTCTAGCCTCTTTTCTGACCGACAAACTAATTTATTTATGTTTAAGTAAAATTTTGCTCAACTCTTTGTTTAATAAAGTTTGTTTTATAAAATTTGGCTCATAATTTTATTTGGAACTTTGGGAAAGACAAAAACCCCACACACAGTATTTTGCTTTTATTGATCTTTAACATATTAAACAGCAAAAGCAACTTTCCTCAGATGAGTAACTCACTGTAAACCTGTCTCCAAATGATGTTCCTTTCTATCCTCTAACGGATTCACTAAACAGTTTTTCATCATTAGTCTACAAATAACGGGGCTTTCCTACAACACCTGGGAGTTGGCTGCTGAAGCCGACACCTTCTGGCTGCTGTTGGCAGACAAAAATGCAACAAAAAATATAAAAGGAAATGTTTACTTGTGCTTATTTTGGTAGGACCGGCGGAACTCGGTAACTAAAACAGAAAATGATGAATAACTTGAATGAGTGGGAAACTAAAAACAAGCAGCGGTCACCTCGAACCAAATCCAGTCACAAGCCCTCGGTTAGGTCAAAAAAACTACATTAACAGGTTAAAAGGAAAGAGCTGCTTAAGCATTTTGGACATTTATTGAAAAAAAAATGGCAGGGGCATTAAATATGACATTTGTTACACAACCTGAACGACAAACAGAAGAGATGGGAAGGTCTGTGGCGAAACGCGTGTGGATAGAATTTCACTGAGCTGTCGTGTGCAGCCGTTATCTGTTCAAGGCATACCTCTGGTGAAAAAAAAAAACTGAAACATTTAAATATATAAAACTTATCATCTATGCCAGACCATGATGGCATAGAACAACCCAGAGACATCATGTAAATGTTGCTGCATTAGTTTTGGTTTTTAGTTACAAAAGAGTGTCAGAAGAAGTGTAAACACTCGGCAGTACGTATGCAATTAAAGCAGAATATAAATATGAGCCACGATTGGCTTGGTGAAAAAAAAATAACAACATGCATTCTTAAAAACCCTTCATGCTCGATCCAAAGGTGCCGGGATTAAGCAAGTTCATTAAAAAGGTTCTGAATCAAAAACTTCCAAGTTACTCAAAGAAACAGTTTTTCCCGCCAACTCTTCTGCTGTGATTTTAACTCTTTATACACAATCTTCAGGTATTGGTCCCTTCCACGTGCAACATCCCAACACAATGCACTGAGATGGGACTGGGATTATTTGGCTCAGCTTGTCTGAGGGGTAGATTAATACTCACAGTAACAGACCGCGGGCTGGGGTTCTGACGTTGGTGCAGTTATTAACATTTCATACGTACAAATGCACGAAGGACGCAGTAAACATACGTGGTGTCATAAGCAGCTGATTCTCAAGTAATACACACCTGTGAGGACTTGGGGTTAAATGCAGAAAAAAAAAAGAAACTACAGAGTTGTCACAGAACGGCACACTGCACAGAAGAGGACGTCTTGTTTTCTGCACATATGTACAAGTATGAAGAACAACTGGGACAGGATCAGCTTGGTAAGTGTGGATGACAGAACCAGACTCTGCTGAGCTGCATCGAGGCAGATTTCTTATCAGGACAGATAAACACAGTGAACCTTCACTTTGTCCGGATTCTTCTGGATCACACAGAAACCTCGTTTCAACCGGTTCGTTCTCTCACAGCTACCAGCACACAGAACAGAGAGAGAGCAGTACACTCAAGGTACAAGTGTGTGTATGTGTGTGTGTGGTTCTGAAAAATAACCAGGATGCCCTGCTTCTTCAGAGTAAAGTCCAAAGTAATCAGAGTCGGTTGTCAGTTTGAAGAGCCTCCGTTTGCTACGACGCTCTCCTCCCCGACGTCAGCTGGGTGAGATAGGTGGGAGTGGGCTTGATGCAGGGGGGAGGCAGAGCGGGTGTGTAGTGGGTGGTGCAGGTTTTGGCAGAAGTGGCGATTTAACATTTGGTCACTGTCAGACTGAGCATCACTCACTCCATCGGCCATTTAGTAAAGTCGCTTCTCGTAACTAGACAGAAAAGCAAGAAGGACAATTTAGTTAAGGTGAAGTCTCGTTAAGCCTAATTTATACTTCTCCGTCAGCTCCCCGAGGGAGACGCACACACATTGAGACGTTTTGCTCTCAGACTTCTCCGTCAGCTGGAGAGCGTTGCAAAACAATTCCCCGCCAGGACAACAGGGGGCGTAGCGCTGTTCTGAGGTATCCTGCCACCATTACAGTCACGTATCCGGTTGATGAAAAGTGTATTTACTATTGTGTTTACATGGTTTTAAAGTTAGAATATGGAACATTTTAATAAAAAGCTAGCTATATTTAAAAAAAAAACACTACCTTCACAGCTGCTTCTTAGAAGGCTATATTTCGAAAAATAAATAATCACTTATTTTGAAGGGAACGACACTGAGTTTATGTTTACATTTACCAGCCACTAGAGGGCATCGTTGCACAAAAACGTCCACTCAGCAAGGGGAGGTTGGGACTGTGTAACATGGCAGACTAGACAAGTCAAGCAGCTGATTGTGACTCATGATGATGTTCTAACGGTAAATACTGATGTAAAATTAACTTACTAGTAGAAAAGAGTCCTTATCCTGTGTGATTTGCCCTGCCTCCAACATGCCTCCATCTAATCTAGGTTATCCAGTTATCTCTGTAGTTATGCTGCTATAGGCTTAGACTGCTGGAGGATACACTGACCACTTTCCACACTTGATTACCTACTTATACAATTTACTCTTTAACTGTATTATTTCCTGCTATTTCAGCTGTTAACTTTATTTTTTCTCCCCAGAAGAAGCTACAATGATGTTCTGCTGAGCTGTGGTGCCCTCATGGAGGATCTTCTAGCACACTGCTGCTAACCACTTAACCATTTTCCCTCTCCTGATAATAACACTTTACTTTCCTTGACATTGAATGTGCTTCTACTAGTTTACCCGATCAATTATCAATTCACTTAGATAAATACAATAAAGTTTATCTCTCACCAAATAGAATATTTACTAAGAAATCACAATGTAACCATAGAAACACTACTTGGTATATATGTTGTGTGTGTGTGTGTGTGTGTGTGTGTGTGTGTGTGTGTGTGTGTGTGTGTGTGTGTGTGTGTGTGTGTGTGTGTGTGTGTGTGTGTGTGTGTGTGTGTGTGTGTGTGTGTGTGTGTGTGTGTGTGTGTGTGTGTGTGTGTGTCTGCTCTGTCTTCTTGATCCCCAGTGAGTCGTGGAGGATGGCTGCTTATACTGAGCCAGGATTCTCTGGAGGTTTCTTCCTGTTAAAAGGGAGTTTTCCTCTCCACTGTCGCTAAATGCTTGCTTAGTATGAGGACTGCTGTAAAGTCACTGACCTGATGCAATTCGCTGGGTTCCTTATATAGGAAACTTTTTTCTGATTGGCTAATGAACTGACCTGTTTTGGAATGTTTACTGTGTGAAGTGCCTTGAGACGACTCTTGTCGTGATTTGGCGCTATATAGATAAACTTGAATTTAATTGATTTGTCTCTGAACGTGGTGCTGGAACGTGTCAGCAGTGAACAAACATCCCAGCAGCTGGAAAATAAGTCCTGTTGTTGCAATACCACCTCTGAACACAAGAGTTCGCAAGAGTGACGGTATTCAATATTCAACCTTTAATATATTTCAGAAACTTCAACAGACAAATTTGTCCCATTCCCCTCTACCTCTTCATGCGATCGGCACCTCTAAACTCACGTTTCGTATCTTTTCCGTCCACGAATGAAACACTTGCTGAATGTCTTTGAACTCCTTCAGTCATGGGTGAATAAACGTTCCTGTTGTCACACTTTTCCCCCGATGCATTCTTCAATCTGTTCCGTGTCTGCCGCTAACTATGTTTTTACTTTTTGAAGCGGCAAAATTTGTGCTGTTGACGAATTTACAGGAAGCAGCGTCCTGACCAATCACAAGCTTGCGGTCTCTGTCACTTTCGACGAACAGTTAAAATTAGGGTTGGGCATCATGTTTGATTTAGAACGATTCCGATTCCAATTCCTCATTTCGATTCCGGGTCCTATCGATTCCCGATTCAGATTCTTTCAAGGCATGACATGTTTTACATGAGCTAGCTAACCACAGGTCCTACTTAATTAATCTCATCTTCAACATGAATTCTAACTCTATGAACAATAATATCACCTTCATTTAGACAAAACCATGTTTTGGAGAAAAAGGGAAAAGACTTGCAGCACAACCAGTGTGTTTGTTTCTGACCACAACCAAAGTCTGGAAGAAGCCTCTGGGATGAGAGGTTAAATGTCTCCAACACATCCAGAAACATCCAGCTGTTTTCAGCTAAAACTCTCAGGATGATCATGTCCAGGATGAGACTGAGAACTACACCTCCATGCTGCAGCAGCATTCAGTCAGAACAGGAAGTGAAACTTAAACGTAGCTGCTGTCAGTAACAATCTAACAGATTTTAAACATTAAAACTCTCAACAGAAATAGTTCAGAAAGGAAATTAAAATGTTCACAACTTTGTGTGTGATTTATTATTATTATTATTATTATTATTATTATGAGTATTTATTGTGGCAGAACCTGGTGTGGTCCACCACAGAGAAGCTTCTCTAGCATGATGACTTTAATTACCGTATTTTCCGGAGTATAAGTTGCACCAGCCATAAAATGTACAATGAAGAAGAAAAAAAACATGTAAGTCGCATTTTGAGGAGAAATTTGATTATTTTTCTTACAAAGTCTGAGACCAAGCGTTTCACATTGCAAGACAAGTACCGGTAACAATAACAGAATAAACAACCAGGGCGCAGCAGCGCACCACGGTCTCCAGCAGAGGATGGCGGTGTTTGAAACCCTCCCAGCGGGGCAGAGGAGCTGAAACCTGGACCGGAGCCGGCCCGCAGCAGCGCGGTATACATAATTTGGTATATACCGTATTTTCCGGACTATAAGCCACTACTTTTTTTCCCACACTTTGAACCATGCGGCTTATAATGAGGTGCGGCTTTACTGAAGATTTTCCTTCACCTGCAGGGGGCGCTTTAGCAGAAAGTGAAACAGGTGGAAGTCAGAAGTGGAAATCGAAGAAAGTGCTTATTTTAATTCAGCACATGCAAGCAGCCGGCACGACGAATATTTTTTTTCAAATCCATACCCCCTCATCATGGTAACTACACATATGAGTTCATATGATGCCGCATTTAAGTTGAAGGCATCGATCTGGCAGTAAAGGAGGGAAACAGTGCTACCGCACGTAAGCTTGGCATGAATCAATCCATGGTTCAGCGCTGGAGATGGCAGCGGGAAGAACTCATTCAAGCCAGCTTCACCCGGCGATGATGACAGCAACACGGACAGCGACACTGACATCACCACAGAAAAGGTATGTGACGAAGCTCTTCTGAGGCTGTTCAACTCCGTCAATGAAGAAGAGGACTTTAATGGCTTTAGTGCGCAAGAGGAAGATGAGAGCGAATGACTTTCTGGTAGGCGAGTGTGTTTTATTTACTAACAGGCATGTTTTGTGTGCAGTTTTTATTTTCTAATCATCCAGGGCTTATTTATGCTGTGTCAGCACTGTTCTTTTCTTCTAAACATGCAAATGACCGGTAATAACGTGTCAGTTCTGTTTTTATTTTATAACCATCCAGAAATATGAATGCTATCAGTGCTGTTTTCTTTTCTAAACTTGCGGGCACGTTCACCAGTGTTTAAAATTCGTTTTGTTGAATTAAAACAACGAAAAACCTCCGTGTAGCGTCTTTCTGTCTAATTATCTTATGTTATGGCCATACATGCGCTGTGCGCCGGAGACCTGCATGTGGCTGCTGTATTCGAGTGCGGCGTGTGTGTGTAGAAAACCTTTTTTTTTTTGTTGGTGCGGCTTATATTGAGGTGTGCTCTATAGTCCGGAAATTACAGTAAGTCACTTAGGTATATAAGTCGCAGGACAAGCCAGACTATGAAAAAAAGTGCCACTTATAGTCCGGAAAATACGGTATTCTACAGGTTATTGTTCAGCCTTCTGACGCTCACACACAACACACACACACACACACACACACACACACACACACACACACACACACACACACACACACACACACGAGTGTTGGTGAGCGACTGTGTCTGACTGCTGACGCTCCGTGTGTGTTTTTATTTCTGCAGTGAGACAAACTCACCTCACACAGTCCAGAGTTTGTTCTTTAAAGCTTCTATGAAATCCACCGTGTTGATGTATTTTAACAAGTTTCCTCTACGCTGCAGGAGTTAAAGTTCACATTACAGAGTAAAAGTCCAGCAGACGCCTTTGTTTATATTTGGCCGCTGTGCGCGGGGTGGGGGTGGGGTGGGGGGTGGGGGGGATCAGTTCTGCACACAGACAGCTGGTGTGATCAGCTCTGAAAAGCCTTTATCACAGTTTGCAGATCACGTTTATTTTTCATGGAGATCGGCCGCAGACTCCATTTCCGTCGGCATACTAGGAATAAAATAAATAAATAAAAAGTTGAAAGATTCCGGGAAAAACTAACAATTAGAACCGGTTCCAACCGATGCTCGATGCCCAACCCTGGTTAAAACTGGGGCATGTCTTCGTCACCCTCTGTGAGCTGGGCGAAGAGCTACTGCGCCGACACATAACAGCGTTGCGTGTCTCCATCCCGACGCAGGCAGAGAAGTATAAATCAGGCTTCAGTCATCCTCACACACCGGTGAGATTACTAGTCCACTAGAAAATCAGTTCACTAGCATCACTTTGGATCAACCTAGTTAGCCTAAAAGAAGCGACTTGACGAAAAATATTTCAACATTTTTGCTCTTTGCAGACGTAAAGAAATTTTTTTAATCCATTTTGATTTTAGGTTTAGATTCATTTGATAAAGAAAAGAACGTTTCTGGCCCTGAGTAAAAGAAACCCAGCTGACTTTTTTCAACGCGCCTAAACAGAAGTTTTCCAACCAAGCAGGTTTGGATGTTTGATTTCATTTTCCGATTTATCAATTTTTATTAACATTTTAAAACAACTAAGCAAGATTAATTTAATAATAACCACATAAACTTTGTTTTTCCATTTCAACATCTACATTTAGCAGCTTTTGGTCTTTATTTGTACTTCTTCTGAACTACAACTACAGGACTTGTTGGAACTTACGAGTGGAGCCCGTGGATGCCTCCCTCCACCTGAGCAGACATGGTTCGTTTCTCAAACTTCAGCTCCCCCGAGTACATCATGGAGCTGAGAAAATAAAGATCAGTTAGTGATGTAGGATCATAATTATTTTACCAACAGGTAATAAAACCCACCGGAGGACAGAGAGACTTTTTGCCCCGATGTCTTGGCAGCCATGTTGGATGCCTGCTATGAGGTAAGGTGCAAACTTGTGGATGGAGCCCTTGTCCTGGACTGAACCCGACACACCCTGGGCTACCTTCACTTTGTCGCCCTCGCTGAAGAGAAAAGTCCAGATTAATATTCAGTATTAATAAGTGAGTTTTCCCAGCTCTCACACACCTGAAATAGCGCTTCTGGCTGCTGATACTTTTCTCCATCGCGTCCAGCGAGCCCATACCCCGGTATTTCTTCAGCCGCACGCCATCTGAGAAGAAGTACTCCCCAGGAGCCTCGGTGGTTGCCGCTAGCAACGAGCCCATCATAACTGGAGCAGGAGATTAGGAGAGTCAGCTGGCACGAGTAAATCCTGCTATAGTTGTGTCATGCTGTGCGAGATATTAAGAGCAGGAAGCTGCTGGGTTCTGGTTCTGTTCGTACCGGTCGACGCTCCGAGAGACAGAGCCTTTACCACGTGACCCACAGTCTGAATGCCACCGTCAGCGATAACTGGCACACCAAACCGCCGCGCGTACTCAGCCACCTTGTACACAGAGGTCCCCTGGGGTCTCCCACACGCCATGACTAGGGGACAAAGCAGAGACATAATGGACAAGACCCTCGATTCACGACCGGACCTGGCTCTAAAACCTGGGAGTTTAGCTGCAACACATTGAGTCGGAGGAACTTGTCCCGGTTTGAACATTCGAGGCTGGTCGCCATAGCAACAGAGAATAGAGGCCCGGGCAAATCACCATGAAAACTAGGAGTGGTTTCCTGGTCTCCGTTACCGGTAGAAACAGCCTTTTCTTTCGCTGTAGCTTCATGAAACAAGCTCGACGGCACGGTGGATCACGTTTAGTCTGAGCGCTGTCCTGTTGTCCCCTACCTTCCTGTGTGATGCAGATGGAGCCGCAGCCCATCCCGACTCTCAGAGCGTCCACACCAGCATCAATCAGATTCTTGGCCTGGGCGGCTGTAACCACTGCAGGAAACATAAAGACTGTCCTGAGGCTGATGCTTTATAATGTCGTGTGTGTGTGTGTGTGTGTGTGTGTGTGTGTGTGTGTGTGTGTGTGTGTGTGTGTGTGTGTGTGTGTGTGTGTGTGTGTGTGTGTGTGTGTGTGTGTGTGTGTGTGTGTGTGTGTATGTGTGTGTGTGTGTGAGAGAAAAACTACAAACTCACCGTTTCCTCCGACGACCTGCAACTCTGGATACTTGTGTTTGATATAGTTGATCATGTTGATCTGATACACCGAGTTTCCCTGTGACGAGTCCTGGAAGCGTAAAAATCATCCAGAAAGAGTCAGGAAGCATAAAAATAAATCAAACGCAGATTTGATTAAAGCCTCTGGTCTGTGCTCGGTACCTTTAACAACACATTTATCATTGCTTAATCCTGTTTAATCACTAGTGCTGTGTTCATTTAGATTTTTTTTCTTCCGTTAATGTTTTTATTTACTTTTCTGTAGAGTCCTTTGTGTCACACAAAGCCATACGGAAAGCTTGGAAGCCTTTTACAAATAAAGCTTTAGTCAGAAAAAAATAAAAAACTCCAGGAAGAGTGGTGAATCCATATTTTGTTGCAGATTTTACAGCAAAGCTAAGTACACACGCTCTGAAAAATGAAACAAATCCAACTAAATTTTATTATGTTGTGCTGTTTGCAGCTACAACAAAAAGACTGATTTATGTTGCACCCTGCAGGCTTTGGCTGCACCACTATTTCTGACTGGCACCACTTCATGCAGGAATTAAGCAGATTTACTATTTTACTATTAAATGAATGTTTTCATCATACAGCTGCACTGGAGCTGCACTCTCAGCAAAAACAGGAGCAAACACCCAGATGCGTTGTTCACATAAAGGTCAACCGAGGCCGAAAATCTCCTGCAGCTCAAGTACAACTGCAGATAACAAATATCAACAAGCTTTTTATTCCCTTCAAAGATTTTTTCTCTGAGCTAATCTTGAAATGCTCCCAAAGCGGTGAAGCGATGTTTATCTTTAAACACATGACCTGCAGCGTGAACACCCACCAGCACAACGGCGTCCACCCCAGCTTGCACCAGCAGGTCCAGTCTGTATTTGTCGTCCTCTCTGGTGCCGATGGCGGCGCCACACAGAAGCTGTTTGCGTGAGTCTTTTGAAGCTAAAGGGTAGTCTCTGTTCTTCTTCAGATCCGTCCTGGCGATGATGGCCACCAGCTCGTCCTTGTCGTTCACGATGGGAAGCTTCCCTGGTGGGCGGAGAAAGGGTCAGAAGTTACCAAATCAACTGGGAAGCACAGCTGCCGAACAAATGTTGGTTTACCCTTTTTGCTGCGCTGCAGAATATCATTAGCTTCTTTCAGGGTAACTCCAGCTGGAGCGACCACCAAGTCCTCCCTCTTAGTCATGGCCTGAAGACGTAAACGTGATTAAAGAAATGTAATAACAGCTCTGTTTTAGACTGAAGGAATCAAACTGAAGTTCACACCTCCTCCAAAGGTTTGTTATGGTCTTTCTCAGAGAGGAAGTCAATGTCCCTAGAGGTGATGATTCCCACCAGTTTGCTGCCCATTTTTCCCGTTTCTGTGATGGGAATCCCAGAGAAACCGTGCCTTACTTTGGCCTGGATCACATCTCCAACTGTGTGGCGTGGAGTCATCACCACCGGGTCTGTGATGAAGCCCTGCTCAAACCTCTTCAAAACAGAAAAAAGAACAATAGCCAGTTAATGTGGTGGATTCAGGGAGGTTTATGTGTGAGTAAAGCAGCAAAAGCAGCAAAACTATAAAAGTCCAAACAAATGAAATAAACAACTAAATGCACAAACACACCTAACCAGAAAGGAGTGAACTACAAACAAATACACACAAAGACCAACCATTACCATGTCCTATTTAAGAAAAACACAAGAACAAATAAGAAAGGTCAAAAGTTTGACTTCAGGAGAGAATTATTTCCCCTTTGGGAGACAATAAAACAAAAACAAACACTAAACCAGCAGTAGAAATGTCTAAAACACACCATTAGGACAGTTTACATGTTAGTTTACCTTGACTTTGCGAACCTCATTAGCTTGGAATTCAGGCGTGCAGTTGTGGTGAATAAAACCGATCCCGCCCATTAGCTGAAGGATAAAGAAAATTAGTTTTAATAAAAGTTTTGATTTGAGGAGGTAAAAATCAGTGCTGTGCATAAAACCGTCCTGTTTCCTCACCGCCATTGCAATAGCCATGGCTGACTCTGTGACGGTGTCCATGGGGGAGGAGATCAGGGGTGTTTTCAGGGTGATCTTCTTGGTCAGAGCTGATGTCAGGTCCTGAGACAAAAAAAAAAAAAAAACAAGTTTGATGTGTCCACCAGGGGGCGCACTGCACCCACAAGCTGCTTCCAGCTCCTTAAACTAAAGCAAGTAAAGCAGGAATATAAAGTTTATTTATATTAAATCTAAGCAGCAGACACCCACAAAAATGTTTAATGATTCATTCCTGCTATTTGTTTTTCACTTGTTCCCACAAGACTCGTTTATTTTGTTTTCCACCACCAGGTGAAAAAACCACGGCATTCCTCCCACATGGGAAACCATGTCGCTCGCTGTCCTGTCGTCTCTGCTTCATCCTTTATCTGGCGGAGACATAAACTAACGATCGGCTCGTGGCGTTTCACACGTATTCACCTCAACTCTGTTTCCTTCCAAACTGCAATAACGTTTTAGACGAGTGAAATATTTCAGAAACATGATGAATGTCCCAGGAAAGCAGCACACGCATGTCAGATTCCTACGAGGCTTCATGGTGAACGTAAACCTGAAATCTCACGACTTCCTGATTCAAATTCAATTCAAAGATACTTTATTAATCCCACAATTCTGAGATCAGATATACATACATAGGCATAGTCACGACAAGAAATGTTCATTTCCCACGTTTCGCTCACTTTAGCTTAGCTCAATACTTGGAAAGCAGTTTTTTTTTAGCTCTGAAGAAAACCGAGATTATAAATGAATTAAAGTAAAATCTCTCAGAGGATTTCATTTAAAGCCTCAGAGATTAAGTCACCTACAGCTGGAGATGGACGAGCAATCGGCCAGACGTGAACACAAACACAACGGTGTGAAAGGAACTAGATGATGGAAACCAGAACAGTTTCTCTACTTTAATAAAGTAAGAGAAACACGGCGTGTTTGCAGAGTTTGCCACAAACGACATTTGTTCATCATGGGTAGTGTTGCTATTCAGTGGAGATTCTGAAAATTGACCAATCAGAATAACCTATGAAGCTTATTATATATATAAATATCCCGGATACTTCTTTATCGATCTAAATTCATACATCAACCTGCTTGATCTCATTTTAATCCAAAGATTAATGTTTAATTTAGATAATTAAATTTAATAGCAAAAGTTATTTTAAATCAGAAGCTAGGATCTTTGCTTTCAAATAACCAGAAATATTATACCTTTTCTGTGTTTCGTTTCAATAAGGAGGCAAGTTTAAAAATGAAATTTTATTACTAACAATTTTAAACTGGAAGATTTGAAACGACAATTATAAAATGACAATTCATGGACGGCAATTTTAATGACAATTTTCAACAGTTTTGATATTAAACTTGTTTAAAAGCAAACCTGTGACTGAATGGAACTAAAATGAGAATGGTGAGTTTTGGATGCGTGAATGAAGTTCTCAGGTTTCTTTCAGAGAGAATGAAAGCGTTCTGGGTGGAATTGATGTTTTGCGGATAACTGAGAAATTTTGAGAGAAACAGCATCAAACGCATTCTCGTGTTCTACCCTCTTGTGGATCCGGAGATCTGGAGGATGTGGTTCATCCGAGATGACACTCCGGCTGGTAGAGGAGACACAAGTGTCCGATCGTCTGGTCCAGAGTTGTCCTGGGTACACGGTTTATCAAGCGCTTGGCAGATGGACGTTCTCGTCTTAACTTCAGAAATCAATGACTCTGGTAGAGTCTTCGTTAGCTGGTGACAGTTTCGTTTATTCTTTAGCTATTCTGGTCGGCGTGACTAGAACAGCAGGTGGAGGTTAGGGACGGCCGTTCCCTTTCCTCGTGGTGTTGGTTCAAGAACTGACTTGAATCTGTGACGGTGACAGTTTTACCAAAAGCTCTCAGACACTCCCACTCTCTCCGGAAGAAAGCTTGATCATGCGTCAAAAACATGTGATGCAGTTATTGTTTATCTGGACTCTGTGTTAGCTGGATAAGGTGAACCTGACCTTCTGTTGAACACATCTTTATAATCATTATAATAATTATTATTGTACCCAAAGCATAATAATCCATTTCATGTCATTAAAATACCTTTATACTGAACCAAGTGATCATGTTATGATGATTATATTAAACAGTAATAAAATCAATGAGTTTATTAATTATTATCTAATTATTATCATCGTGACTTGCAGTGTCCTTCTGGGACGGAACAGCAGATACTGATGTTATGATCTTGAGCAGACATCGTGGCTCCTTGGGTTAATCTGTGGATTCAAAAATACTGACCCAGCTGGGCAAATGTGCCCTTTGCCACAAATCAGAGAACCTTCATCACGTTACAAAATATTCCACACTTCCACTCAACAGAAGCTGCCCTTGTTTCTAATTCAAGTTGCCAAAAGCGTGTGCACTCACCACTTCATCTGAGGTGAAGTCAATGAAGCCAGGTAAAATCAGGAAGTCACTGCAAGAGAAAACGCAAAGTAAAAAACAAATGGTCAAGACAAACTTCATCAAGGCAACATTTAAAAACGTGACCAGCGTTCGGTTCCAAACTCAGAGAGGCGAGTGTAAAAGTAGCTGAACAGCCATGGTGGGAAAAACGTAAATACGTCTCGAAGTTTTGAATAATTAAAATTAAGTGACCTGGTAACAAGATAAAAATGGTGGCAGATTACAAATTAAATAAGAACCACTTTTAAAAAGGTCACAACGAAAGTGTTGCTTACAGGAACTCGCTGACCAATGGAGTGTTGTTTGTAAACCAAACAAAAGTCAGAAAATGGGTTGTTTCCTTTTTACCGTCTGATAACAGGAAAACTAAAAAGTATTTCTGTTTTGCTAAAAACAGAGAACAAAAATTAAGTAGTCTTAGTTTTGTTGGTGATTCAAAAGTATAAATCAAAAATAAAACAATAATTTAAGTCGTTTTTGATTCTGACCCAGAGATCCTTGGTGTCTCGGATCAAACATCATAGGAGGGGAACTCCAGCACACCTTCTCCACACATTCCTAGCAACAAGACTTTCCATTTACTGTCTTCTCTGTAATAAAATCCCCATATTTGTAGAAAGAAAGGTCCAGGATATTGATGTGAACGTGCAGAACGTAACAACCAGTTTTTTATACTAGGCTTGTACATGTTTATTGTGAAGTTGGCCAATCACAAACTATCCCTTCAATGGGCTCTTCTTTAATGTTTCACTGCAACTAACCACTATTTCACAACGTCTCGTTTGATGTTTGTCCAACTGTAAAACCTTAGCACTGCATTAGCGAGCAGGTCACCTATGAACAACGGGATGGCTCATGATCAAAACAAAAGAAAAATACCATTTAAGTCCAATTTTTGATTTCCAAATTTGAAACAGAAAATAAACTAAGACAACTTTTCATTTTTTGTTCTCTGATTTCATGGAAGAAAAAAAAACTGAAAAGAGTTGTTTTTTTTTTTGTTCTCCAATTTTAAATGGTAATCAGTAAAAGGCAAATTTTACATTTTTGTTTATTTCCAAACAAAAACTGTTAGAAGGGAAGTACGCAGCCCCTCACAGCCGCCTATTAGACCATTAGACTATTAGATCTTTGGGGTTGTAGCAGTGGCAGCAACAACAGCTGTGGAAACGAGCTACAGCTGACCTCTTTCAGCTCCTTGCCTGAATAAAGAATAAGATACGTTGTGGAGAAGGAGCCAGACACAGGAATGTATTTACTCCTCTCCTCTGGTGGAGTCTGTATATACTTAGTGGTTTTAGATGATGGGTGTGAGAATAAACGAAAGGGCGCAGGAGTGAACAGAAGCTTTATACTTCTGGAGGAATGTTGTAGCGAGTAAAAGGAGAATCAGGTGAACACCACTGGTAGAAGATGAGCTAAAGGAAAGAGGGCTGATCCAGAAATAGATTCCCCTCATCTATTCTGCTAGAGCGTGGGTGGGAATGAGGAAAATCTGAAATAGAGGCACTGGACAGGACACCGCAAAGGGTGGAGTCACGCCCACAAACATTTATGCTCCAACATCTGCTCCTGCCCCAAACCTCAGCTGCAACGCTCAGGACGAACTGACTCAGGGTCAGCTTTAGGTTTACAGCAGCTCCTTATTAGATTTTATTTGAATGTTAAATTTAGACAAATGTGTGATGCAAAGTGTGGCTGGGTTTAAGCCACAACTGCTCTAGTCTCCACCTTCTGCTGCTTGTCTGACCACCAGAACCCGTCAGCAGCAGAGGGAATGGCGTCGGACATTTGGTCTGTGTGACATGAAGTTAATTTAGGTGAATTCTTGTGTGAGAAATATATTTATGAGCTTCATTGATGAGTTTGGCCAAAAACCCATCAGTAATAAATAATAGCATGGATTCGTATTTCATAGTATTTTGTGGTAAAACTGTTGTTCACGAGCTTGATTCAAGGTAAAAATCCAGTCAACAGGTTTCCGGTCTAGTACCTTATATTCTGTTTAGAACGTGAAATAGGAACAAGGCAGTTATAAACTTAATCTACGTTTATTTTCTGTTCATATGTCTAGTTTACATTTTTTACAGCAAAATGCAAACCTGGAGATGAACAGATTCTGGTTTTGAGGGTTTTCTGGTTACTGTGGTAATTTGTTATTGCTAGAGTGAAGTAGCAACTAGCAATGATGAGTTAAATAACTGGGAAAAGTACTACTTTTTATTTCATCTTGGTAACAATGCATCTAAGAACTGGAAAAAATTTAATGAAAAAAAAAAATTCAAGTATTTGATTTTATAATCATTGGAGCTGATTAAGCTGGTCATGCTGGATACAGGACAGCTCCAGTCAACTGAATTTTACTTTGGTATAAATGAAATAGGGCTGCACGATATTAGGAAAACCTGCGATATTCGATAACAGTGCTTAATATTGCGATATCGATATTACTCACGATAAATGAACAAATACTAAAGTGTGCAGTGTTGATGTCGTCTGGCATGTGACGTCTGCTCTGGGTTCAAAGCAAACACAAACTAATGCATGAATTCCATTACAACATAACATTTTTATTGAAAACATATGCAGCTGCACCTGCTACTGTATTAGCAGCAAAACAACAAACTGCATGCATGCAGTTTCTCAGTGACTTTTAAACATCACCTCCACCATAAAACTTTTTCTGATGCTCCAAATACAGAAAAACATCCCTTACCAGGGTTTTTGAATAAATAAAAAAAATCAGAAAATTACTTTAAATGTTAAATAATAGTTAACTTCACTTAAATGCAACAGCAAATTCTCTCATTGCTACTGAACATTTTCTCCAATTATGTGGTTATGATATAAGGCTGTTGCTGCTATTGGGAAGTGAACTGTGCTGGGCCAAACTAGGAGAATATTAAGATTTTCTGAGGGAAAGAGAAAAACAATTGTCTACCTTTCAGAAGAGGAACTGGCAAAAAAAAAACTACATGGAAAATATGTGAAAGCGTTTGTTTTTAACCCCAAATTGAACAAGTTTACCTAGATCTTAAAAAGCAGCTCAGATGATGAAACTGCAGCTATGATTATGATAACAAGCTAACAAATTGAACTAGCTCCTCTTAAGACAACCGGTTAGCAGAGCTTCTGACTGACGGTTTATGTGCAGCAGCAAATCAACTATCCTGATTAACAAGGTTATAAAAGCTCATAAATGAAAAATCACTTTGATGTGTGGGGGAACTTTTCCATGCCCTCTTTAGCAGGGTGGGACTGGGAGGAGAGTGCTGTAGCCTTTTAGCTGGAAGCTAACCGGAGCCTGGGGCTAACATCACCACCCGGTGGAACACTAGCGACATGAAGGTAGGTGGGTTGGTTCACCGGCACGTGTCGGAGTCAGCCCGGTTATTATCAGCTGCTTAACGACACCGAGCAGACTCACGTTCACGTTTGAAAGCAGCGCTGATCCCAGAAACCTCAGCACAAAGTGCGTTCTTTATTCTGAGCCAGCATGACGAACAAGGGAAGCGAGCGGAAGCGGAAAGCGGGGGCGGAGCGGAGATAGTGGAATTTTGGGGTAAGGGTCTACGTAGGGGGCGGGCGTATTACGTGAACAGACCCATCTGATTGGCCGCATATCAGAGGGGCTACATTTGATTGGTCAAACAATACTTCGCGTAAAAACAGAGCTGGTTTACAAAAAGTTGATGTATGACACAGATGGGAATGTTTGAACTAGTGTTGTCAAAAAAATCGATACCTAGATATGAATCGATGCTAAAAGTGGTATCTAAATTTGATATTCCATCCCTGTGGTATCAATATTATGGACTATTATACACAACCTTCTTCAAGTACACCGATACGCACGACAGCCAGATGCCGTAAAGCAGCCTCCGCCTCCCAAACAAACAGAAGAAGAAGATGCCGCATGGCTACATTGCAATTCCCCACGCGAGTTGTCTCCGATCCAAGTTTTGTCTGCCAAATAAAAAAACAAAAACATAAACAGCGAATTTGGGAGGCGCTTCACAGCCCAACTTAATTAGCATACCAAGTCTGTATATTCACGCTTATATGCTTAAAGGAAAACTCCCGTTTATTGCAACCCGGACTTAATTTCTAGCATGCAGTACATTTGTTTACTCACGCTGACAACTTTGGTGCTACTTGGATTCCCCGGGGTATTTAGATCCATCGGCGAATCGCCATCAGTGTATATCCATATAACGGGTGCGGACGGGCACCCATGGTGCAGCTTCGAAATAAGAAATTATCTGCACCAAAACATCTCAATGTCGAAAGGTTTTGTTAGGAATCATTAACATGATTCCCCTGTTTGTTTGGAGTGAGTCTGGGATTTCTAGGCATAAACAGACTAGCCGCGGCTAATCTAGCCGCGGCGCTTTTAATGACGTCACTGCCGTGCGCCAATCTGTTTTTATTAAGATTACCGGTAGATGTACCTTTGTCCTACTGTGGAGAAATTTGTTTTCTCCCTTTATTGACCAACAGAGTTGTTCAAAAGTACAGAACAAAACATATGGCATTACATCTTATGACAAAAATGCACCTTAAACAGAGTTTAAGCAGCAAAACATCACTCTGCAAATAGTGTATATATAGTGAGACAATTCATGATTTACAGTGTTAACTTTCGCCAGTTTTTGTATGCACGTTTTAAAAAATGCTGATACTTGAAGGTTTAAGCACTTTATACACTTAATTCTTAACATTTAATTTTAGCAATATAAATTGAGGAATGTTATTTTTTGAATAAACTTGTTCAATAAATTGGTGTTTTTAAATTGTATCAAAATCGAGTATCGGGTTTTTTCCCCCCAGTATCGAATCGAGTTTGAAATTTTAGTATCGTGACAACCCTAGTTTGAACCAAACAATTATCACCGTTTTTGACGTGCTTTGTGATGGGCCTATCGCACGTCCCGTTATCGAGATGACGATCATTTTTCGATATATTGTGCATCCCTAAAATGAAACTAAAAAAATTTGAATATGGTGCAA